TATATATATATCACACACACACAATGTGTAACAGAACGTACAACCTCCTCATAATGACCTTATTAGACCAGTGGACCAGGGAAATTTAGATGCAGCGATCTTACAACCATAATACCAGAGTGGTCAGAGGCTGGTGCATAATACAGCTCATGTGCAAGTATTGAAACCTGGAATACCATATTTGTTCAGTCTGACCAAAAAGGAAAAAAATAAAATAAAAACCACATACATATCTAAAGGCTGTACACTGGGGCTTTCTAGTAATTCCCCACAGAATTAATTGACAGCTATAGATAAGGCCTCACTTTCGGTGTATATGTAATGGGCAGTGTGCTGCTACGGGCCAAAATGCCAGAATTAGTCTCTCTGGGAATAGGATGCAGTGTTTGCCAGGCCAAATATAAAGCAAGAGCCTTATACATATACGCCTGGTAAAACAGAGGCCAGTACAGAAGAGGTAAAGGCAAGGAGATGGAGAAAAAAAAAAAAAAAAAAAAAAGAGCTTTTGATCAAGACATTTTTTCACAGCACAGGACTAAACTTAATCGGTCAGCCTTGTGGAATGACCACTTTAGGACTCGGATGCATAAGAGTTATCTTCATCCATATGCCAAGACGAAGCATGGAGCCTCGTGATGAGGAAGCATAGAGCTGGCTTTCCCCGCTTCATTATCTGCTTTCTGATTGGCCAGGAAGCCTGCTCCATGATGACGAGGGAGCATGAAGTCAGTCTCCTAGCTAATCAGGAAGCCGGGCAGCGTATAATGACTTGCCACCTGGCTTCCTGATACCAGAAGTTCCATATCAGAATAGGTATCGGGAGCATTTGGGCGAGTATGAATGCACAGGCTTCACTCCTGTACTGAAATTGCTTACTGATTTTTCACAGCATACTGTGAGCTTTCCACAAGATGCATTAGAAGCTGCCGCTATTCAGATACAGCCTACCTAGTTTCCTGGCTGGAGAACATTCAGCATCATTTAGATCTTTCCTTCCCATCCTGGCAGTCTTTGGCACACCACTTTCTCATTGGACTTCAGTTCTTTCCATCAAGGAGGCCCAGCATCACATGTGGGCATTACCTATGGAAATCTGCCTAGGAATGCCAACTCCTCCTGATAGTCATCTACCCATGAAGGCAATTTAACATTTGCATAACTCCTCCCAAGAGACAGCCCACTGCTGGCCTCAGGCTGAGCACTCTTGAGGAGTACAGTACTGTAACAAAGTGCTGTGATGTTTTTAGGAAGCCATGTACAGATCCCTGCTGGCCCTTCCCACCAGCATGATCTGCCTGAATTGCACAGAGACCAAGTGATTACATCACTGGGTGTAAAATAGTTTATGTAATGAAAAAGAAAGGCTTATTGAAAAATTTAATTAGCATGTTGATGAGGGGAATGAGGTGGAATAACCAGGGGGAAAAAAAAAAAATCTAAGCAAATTAAAACTTCAACTTTAAAGTACCTCAAGCAATCAGGCCATTTATGATGCAACATACTCTTTGCAGAAGTGGAGCTAACAGTTTAAATACATTTTTTTTGTTTCTGTGGTAAAGGAAGGAAGGATTTTGTCATTGTGCATGAAACATTACGGTATCATAGCACATTGGATATTTATGAGACTGGAGATCTGCCCATCCTACGCTGTGTAATACATATGTGGTTTACATGAGTGGCTAAGACTCATTAATGAAAAACATTATTCTACTGAAACCATGGAGGAATTCACTCCTGTCATTCCATCAAAGAGATAAATACTTGTGCAGGTTTCTAAAGCAAAGAAGCCAAAATTAAATGCTTCCATCGAGTATGCCTGTTTATTTTACTTCACAGATCAACCCTTTTGCTGCCGGGGCCATTTTTGCACACGCATGTATTTTTAGGCCTGAAATGTAGTTAAACCTCCACAGGAATAATAATAAATAATATAGATTATAAATAAAATATTCCTGAAAGCAAAAGACCCTGTAGAATAAAGACATTGCAACTGCCTTGATTTTATATTGCGTAATATTAGCACACCTGTTCATTGAACGCAACATTTTGAGTAAAAAAAATGCACTAAAGTTAATTTTAGTGCAGAAAAAAACCCCACAATATATTACCCAATTTTGGGGTAAAACATATGGGAGGATGTTACGTAAAGTAAATGAATAACATGCCATGCTTTAAAATTACAAGTGTCTGTGAAATTGTGAAAAAAAAAACCACAAAAACAAAAACTTGGCACCCAACATTGTCCATAGGCGACGATTTAAAAGCCTTTAAGGGTCATCATGTTAGAGTTGACCACAAAGGATGGGCCTAAGATTATTGCACTCATTCCAGCATGCATGACAATACCTAACATGTGGCACAATCTGTTTTTATATGTACGTGCACCGGACGCATGTGTTTGTTTGTATGTTCCCCCCCCCCCCCCCCCCACCCGCACTAC